TTGTGGGAAGGAGAGTTATTTTTTCCTTCTGGTCTCATTGCCATTTTGTATGTTGCATTGAATGTGTTCCAGATGTAAGAAATCGCAGGGGAGCAAAATATCCTGTACTTGGTTGCCCATCGCTTCAGCAATTTCTGGACATCACACTGGTTTTAGTGTGCAGACCAACACGTAAAAGAGAGCACAGAACCTGCGGTAGCTGGACTGTATCTGCCTGTGGTACATCCTGACGAGGCTGTTAGCCCAACACTCTGGTTAATTACCAGGGCTGTGATTAAGGGCCTGCTGCACCCCCTTCAGTACTCCCATCCCTCTGTAACTTCCCTGTACTTGCTTTGTGGCAGAATCGTGTGATCTAAACTACCTCTGAACTTGACCCCCGAGTTTTGCCTAGCATTTATTCTGGTCTTTGAAATTATCAGAGTGGGACAGCTGATGATCCAAAATGGGCCAAGGATATAAATGAGTGCCAGATACAAACATCCACAAGGAAAGCAGGTAAAATACCACACTTTATTAAATATATCTTCCAGTTGGTGAGTGCACATTGTCCTATTGAACTTCTAGGAAATTTTGTTGGCAGCAAGACATAAAAGGTTCACAGTGAGACTTAATCCTACTTTTGTATAAGATCTAACTTGCTACAGCCATTTGATACACAGCTTAGTAAAAGTACATCAGTTGGAACTATAACAATAGTTTAAGGATCTGTTACCAATCCGTTATGTTTTTGTTATGGATCTGAATACAGTATCCCAAATTAAGCTCTACATTCCCTGTAGGATCAGAAAGAACAAATTCTGGCAAGCTCATTTGCTCATTCATTTAGCAGCATTCTACGACGTTAATTGCACATATATTTCTTTTGCCTTTTTTTCCCCCCCCCATGGGACTATAGAACAATTTATAAAATAAGAATGCATTTTTGGATTCACATGTTCAGAATTGGAAATATTCTAGAACCTGACTACATTTCATCTTATTTTATCAATATAAGAACACAAAAATAAAAAAGGGCAAACTGTGGAAATAAAATAGCTGTCAACAAAGTTGGTTGAGGACCAACTCTTTTTTCTGAACAAATGCTGGACACTTGTTTCCTTTAAGTTAAAGGAAAATTAAAAAAAAAGAAGAAGAAAGGAGGAGTCAGCTCAGTACCCAAGCTATCAAGGACAAAAGATAACTGGCATATTAATTCTGTTAATATTATATGCCTCTGAAGAAATGTATCTTTGGCTGTGTTTGTCCCTTGCCATAGCTAGGAAAGGGGTATGACAGATAAATCGGTGCTTTTGTGCACGATCAGGAAGGAAGAATTCCTGGCTAGAAAAAAGCTGTGTTAAATCAACTATTTGACTAGCATTTTTGGCAAAATAAGCTCTGATTAAAGGGGTGAATATTAAGTGTAAAATTTAAAAGTCCTTTTAAGTGTCACGCTGAATATAAGAATACTTAATATCTCTGGGTACTATGACCCCTTCCTTTCTAGCTGCCCGATTTTAAAAATGTAACAATTCGAGACATTTCAAAACAACCCAGTGGGATGCGATGTAGTTAATTTAACAATAGTCATATTGCATAATGATGTAAATAAATATAAATATTTCAGATTAAGGGTGAGCAAAGTAAGGAGATGAGAAAGTGGAAAGTAAACTGTGGTAACACGCAGGACACTTCAGTTGTTGAATTTTATGTTATCAGATTTCAGAAGAAGTTATTTTATAATTGTAACTGATTTGTAGCTGTGATTACATATCACCTTCCCTTTATTTGGTGCAAGCACCGTATTTTAGGAAGTCATCCAGTGTTACCATTTTAATTCCTACAATGTGAAATTCTTCTATCCTCACAAGTCTTCACCATAAAAGCCACACAAGTGTGTCCCCAGAAGGGAACTGTCCAAACCAGGGTTGGTGTTTCTCATGCAAGGAAGGGGTTCTAACGGGCAATGCATTGTCTGGGTCAGTCAGCCAAGCAGCTTGGTTCCTAGCTGCCTCTCTGGCTGTTGGCAAACCTGTCCCTGCTGGCCGCTGTATTGCCCCTCTCCATGAAGCCCCTGCCTGGCTCTGCAGAGCCAGTTTAACACTGGTCCATACTGTTTGCCCCAAATATGGATGCACATCTCTGAAACTGTCCGTAGTAATTGATATATCAAAAATAAGAGATCATCTATATGTACCCTTAATTAGAAGAGCTAATCATAAAGCAGAGCTATATTGCATTCACACAGTAGCTTTATGTATATAGTTTGAGTTCTTCTTCTACACACTGTGCGAAAAGGTTAGCAGCTTGGCTAGTGTCAAGACAGCTGTTTTGCAGGATTGATTCCATTTCACTGATTTTCTGTTTCTCCAACTTCCGCAGCTCTTCCAGTATCTTTTTACCTTTTTCCTGGAAAAAGAAAAGTCTGTATTTCACCAAAAGCTCTGCAGTGCTCACCCTAACAAAACTGTTTAAAAGTCATTATTTAACCTCTTAATTGTTTCTAAGGTACAAGCTATTACTGGTAGAAGACAGCCCTATAATTTTCCAGGATCAGTGCTTCTTTGCAAACATCTAGCAATTACTTCAGTAAGTGCTACAATATTATATGCTCCTTGGCTGGAGAGGAGGGGAAAAAGCCTAAATGCTGCTTCAAGTATTTATAGTAGCAAAACTTAAGTGGGCTGCTGTTCATTTTACAGAATGCATATCTGGGTACCTTCTCAGCTCAAGAACTTCTTCAGTCTTTGATTAGAGCTTTCAAGTAGGAGAGACACAACTGCTTAAGAGTAAGCAACAGTCTCCCTATCTGTGCACTGATACTTGCTTCTAAATTTCATTTCCTAGTGTCTTTCTACATGTGGCAGTTTCTCTGTGTAAACTGTTTATTGACACACTATTTTGGTTACTTCAGAATAATGTTTTAAGTGTTTCAGTTTCATATTGCCACTTCCATGTTGCCAGTTATATCAGCAAAATTAGGTTCTCCATAACTGTATCTACTGTGTTACTGAAATATATATTACTTTCGCACTGCAAGTATGTTTCTAAATTCTACCTGATGCTAGTGCTTGGTATTTTTGGTGCTGCCACTAATCTTAAGATGATGCACTAGTGACAGAAACACCATGACTCTCGGTGAGATTCTAATTTTGTGAAGCAAATGTTAGCACTAGGGAAGAAGGTTGGGAAGAGGAGGGGTTAAAAAAAAAAAAGTCTGCATGATACATTACTAGAAGGTAGAAGGAACTGCCTTTATGACAGGAGTTGAAGGTTGCGTGGATGATAGCAGCAACAAAGCAGCTAATTGCACCACAGAAAGCTATTTCTAAAAGAAAACTGAGTCTGGTCAGCTTTCTAATTTTCAGTGATTAGCCTTTTAAATTTCACTGACCTCTGAAGTGACAGCTCATACTATTTAACATCCTCACTAGGGTTAGTTACAATTTGGTTTAAGTCATTAATCAGTAGTATTTAGCCTGGAGCAGTCAAGGAAACTTAAATAAAAGGCAAAACCACAGTTGTTTTCTTAAGCTGGTGTGCCGTTACGTGAAGCACGTGGTAAGTCTGTTGGTACCAGGCATGGCTAAAAGACCTAACATGCTCGCTGCCCTAGAGTAGGGTTTAAGTGCTGTTAGCAGAGCTGTCCATCTGCCTGCTGCTGGGTGACTAGCGCAGGAGAGCATGTGGCCTGCTCCTCTGCAAGATCAGCACGACAGGGATTTGCCTTGAGACTGAGCCTGGGGCTGCAGCAGAGCATTAATTACAATTTCTCAGCATTTCTGCAACGTAGGTCTGCCAGCTGCCACAATGACTGGCCTCTGATGCACTACAGTATTCCTCACCATCCGTTTAAGGGTATTAAATAGTATCACATTAACAAAATGTGATCAAGGAGCTTATATAAACCACCTGCTTGCACTGAAATCTAATTTAATCAACATACCTTGGTAGTGTCCATAACTACAGCAGCACTTTCATGTTTTTTATAGAGCTCATGTCTTCGATCTGGCTTAGTCTGAAAGCGTGGTTGCTTCCTAACTGGATCATCAGGACCAAATGTAGGGGAGCTGGTTTTTAACAATGGTGTTATATTGGGCACAAAAATGAAAGGCTTAAATACAGACCTAGAAATAGAAAATAGAACAGATAGCCTTTACCAATACCATTTTATTAGAATTGTTGAGTCAGTAAATTGCTATATTTTTCCCCTCATTGTATTTCTTTTTCTTCTCAGGGAAAAAAATGTTTAAAATAATTTTCTAACCCATTTTTAATTCATTTCATCAACTAGATACATGAGTAATGTACACTAAGTCCCTCAAGACTATCCATTTTGTTCTCCCTCCCTTTTGGCATTTAAAGTTTTTTCTTTTTCAGCAAAAATAATAAAGGAAACATAATTGGACAAATTTACACTATGTTTCATTCAGACATTTGCAATTTTTGGTAACAATGAGTTGCTCTACGTCACCTCTCAGGGTCTGGAGTCCCTGTGAAGTAGTGAACACACGGGAGACCCGGCTCCTGAGGCAACACGGAGACCATGCTTCCCGTTGTCATGAATCCACCCTCCATATTAATGCCACTCTCTTTGTCGCGAAGAATTTCCATCATTATTTCTGAACTAATAGAGCCTGTTTAAGACACAAAAGAACTATTTACAAACAGCAATTGTTTTACTGTCAACTAAATGGAAAGTTGTCTACAACTGGCTGCTTTTTTTCTTAATAGGCAATAAAAAGTTTAGTTTGTTCATGTCCACATGACATGAAATAAAAATCATCCGATCAGCATACCTTAAGATGTAACACAATTAAGCACATTGTTTTTATTTTCCCTAAAGTATTTATTTCAAAGAGTAGGTGATAATGAGCTATGAAATTTATGACTCAAAAGCCAAGGAATTCAACAAATCTACAAAGTACCAAATCAATTAAAATCAGCAGCAGTTTGTTCTTTGGCTGCAAGTTAGCAACCTGTCCAGCAGAAAAGAAGGTATTGCATATTTTTGACCTAGACTATTTTACTATTTTGTATTCTCGAAATCAGCTGCTTATTTTTGAAGGTAAATAATGTTTATCTAAAAATGGTCTTCACAAGGTGAAGATAGTCTAGAAAAAAAATGTAATGCCACCGAATAAATAAAAAAGCTGGGAAGGAGAAAAAAAATAAAACAGTGATTTTACCATCGCTCTAAACCAAATAACTTTTACTTAGGGCACCTACTTAAGATAAATCTAAGCAAACTGAAGCTATATGAGGCTGATAACATGCACACCTAGTGTGATTTTATAATGGCTCTGGTAAATGCCTGAAAATGGGGATTTAGAATGAAAACACTGATAGAACCTTAACATTGTTATAATATAGGTAAATACAGGTATTAGGAAAATGCTTTCACTATTCAGAACCTACAATTCCCAAAATGAATGCAGGATTTACATGATCTCCAGAGCAGGATAGCAAGAGGTAATTCATGTTAAAACTAAATGCTAAAACTGGTCTGATGGAACTCAGCAAAATAAATAAAAACACAGGGGTGCAATTTTATTTTGGTTCAGATTAATTATTTCAAATGAACAAGTGAATACAGATGCAATTTTGAGTTGTTGCAAAAAGCTGCCAAGTGGAAGCAGTTAGAAGAGAAGTAATAGCTTCTCTCTATTGAGGTCTGAAAGAAGAGTTATGTGGATAAGTTAGTAATTAACAAACCAAGGTGCCTGCTTAGAATACTGAAAATCCTTTTATTCTGTACAAGGTTAGGGTAAGTGATAAATAAACAAACCACAAACATTTTAAAAAAACATTATCTTACACAAGCCAAAAAATAAACCCAAAATATGTATATGAACACTGCCATTGTCTTAGGCTTGTAACAAATAGGACTGGTAAATAAGATTCTGTTAGTGGCTACAAACTATTGAGAGTCTGGTTTAGCCTGTGTTTTTAATTAGAGATACAGTAACAACATTTAGCTCATGTTCCAGAACTAGATCTTACAGAGTATTTAACCGTGTAGCCACAATATGACCTGTAAGTGTCATTACTGTAGCTGTATGTGTTTGATATGTGACCTATGCTTTATTTTCTCTACCTCTGAACTGGCCAAAATTGGTGAAGGACAGTTCAGAAGTTCACCTTTAAAAAAAAAAAAAAAGTTGTTCTTTCACCAAATCATGAATGATGGCCTCACAGCAGATGTTTGTTTATGATTTAAATTAATGCAACTTATTAAAAACTATTTCCTACAAAAACAAACAAAACACGAATGATACCTTTGTGTTTGTTCAGAAGTTTATAGCCTTCACAGTATCGGCCTCTGGATGTAGTCATTCTGGCAGTATTTACATAAGAATACGTGGCAGCAAAATCAAATTCCTTTTCCCCATCCCACCAGCCTTTGCTTTTTGCATATTCCCTCAGTTCTGGATGTTCTCTGTCAATCTTGGTTGTGATAGAGAGCTGATTGGAAATATTCCGTACACCACCTGCTTTTAAGGTGAAAAAAAAAACATTTAGTATATCAAATGATTTTGCTGGCTTTTTCCTTACATTTAACTTACTAAAACAGGCGATGCATTTAGGAGTTTCCTACAAGATCTGTGTGATCCTGTGGTTTGTTTTTGGCCCTCGCCCTTTCTCTCTGGCTGCTTTTATCTGCAGATCAAACTGCCTCAGCTCCATATCATTTACTTTCGTTGCTGCCATCGTATTACAGGTTCCATCCTGATCATTTTCCATCTCTATATGCTTCTCCTTAGACTGTTCCCAAAACCTAGCTTTTCCTTCTGAGTTTGGTGGGAGCATCGATCTGCAGGACCCAACCGCACAGATCCCAGCAGTATTCCCCAACCAAGTGCATTTGATTGCCACCATCCTTAAAAGCATCCATACTGCTGCTATCCTCATGCTGACCTTGATGCTGTCCTCCCTTCCCAAGCGTAGAAGCGATCACCTCTGGTCTCAGAAAGCCCCTCTGCAAGACTGCTGCCCTGTCTACCCTGTGGCCTAATGAGCAACCTCTGCTGTTCCTGTAGGTACGTGTGTGCATACGCGGAGACTATTTTGATGCTTTAGTTAAACGGTAAAGGAGGGATTGCTAATTGTCAGCACACTGGAAATATTTAAAATCCTAACAAAGAGATCCATACCTTCTACTTTTTCTGCTGCCCAGTATTTTCCGGATGTCTCCAGCACCCACGCCTCCTTTCTGTCAGCTATCAGAAAACTGTTATGGTAAGTAAAAGCCATATGGCTCTCCATACAGTTTCCTCCCTGTCCGTATTTTTCTAGCAAATCAACTATGACAGTAAGGGCCTTTTCAGCTGTGTTTGCTCTCTCGAGTCCAAGCCTGGAACAAGAGGAAGATATTACCTTTGGAATAAAACACCTTGAATACAACTGTATACAACAGGAAGAGCCGACTGACTGTGAACTGCGGGGCAGCAAGGGGTGTCTTGGTGCCAGTGAGACAGGCAAAAGCCGCCGGCCACATTACTGGGGGCGCAGGGTTAGGACCGAAACTGAGAGTGCGTGAGAGAAGCTGAAGCAAAGGCTGGCGCCGGCTGCGCAGCTCCTGGGCCCTGCTTCAGCTCACCAGGAACTCCGCGCAGAGAAACACGCTGAGGACTTGTTGCTGTAGCTCGCGTGCCTCTCGCAGCCTCCTGTGCAGAGAAGCACCTCGCTGCGTGGCCACTCGTTTGTAACCCAGCTGCCAGAGCTGCAAGATGGGCTGCAGGGACAGCGCTCGCTCCCACGCACGCCTCAGGGCAAGGGCTTTAAAGCGCAGCCGGGGCCCGGGCGCTCCGCGCACCTCACCAAGTCCATGCCCAGCAGTGCCTCGTCGTCGGCGACCTCCTCGCGGCCCCACACGGCCTCGTTGCCGATGCACACGCCATGCTCGTTGGCGCCCATCTCGGCGCCCCAGAGCCACGCGGGGCGGCTCAGCACCACGGCGTGGGTCTCGCCCGCCTGCTCCACCTCGATGTAAGTGCACTACGAGCAAGGAAGCAAGTGCGAGGGGCACCGTCACCCTGCGGGCGCCTGCGACCCACCATTTCCCAGCACGACGCCCCCC